AAATATGAAAGCTTAGGCCTAAGCATATCTGGGTATCACCGAAGTGTCGACCATGGTGCTCATGGAGCAGACTCAACCTAATGAAATCTGTTAAGTTGGCCCAGCGCATACTGACCGACCGACGAGCCGAGAGCATCCACCTTCGCCTGTGCTCCTCACTATGTTGTTTGCAGAGATGGCGAGGTCCAGACTACCATTTCCATCTCGAACAGCCACAGGGATCCGAGCTCATGTTTCAAACAGACATGCAACCGGTAGTTGACAGCACTCAGGGTTCTTTGTGATATGTGTGTGGCGGGTGAGTTAAGACACCCCAATAGTCAGGAGCTGCTTCGAAAGCGAACCCAAGTTTGGACGACCTCAGCGATCATGGCCAGTCGACTGGAACGATTGCAATGCCCAGGCTCTCATCAACATGCTTCAATTGCGGGCTCATGCAAAACCCCAGGTCAGGCAAGACAAACAGTCAGCAGTTACACTGAGAACTATACCAGACTTTTTGCACAACATCTAAGTAGGGTCATACAATGTAGTTTGCAAGTGAAGGAAACCCATGAACACAGTCTGTCGGAAGCATGTCACACCGTCTACGCAGCAGAAATCGAAGACACCAATCCTGCTAAGAGGAGACGCCTGAACATGAAGTCACCAGCCGATGCAGCTATTGAACTGTGTAAGGGAGTAGATCGACTGCGAACCATGGACTTTCCTGCAGGGAAGGGAACTCATCGATGGACTTTTGGTCGGGAACGAAAGCTTTTACAATTCTTTCGGACCAACAATGGGAGAACCTTTCGAAATTGTCCCACCGGCAAAAGATTCGCAATGGAACTCCAGCACGTGTAGCCATCACGATTTTTGCTCACCCCAAGGTTTCCGATGAAGGAATTCGGGAAGGAGACCAAAAGCCAGAGAGCACATGCACAGGGTCAGGGTCTAAGGAAAGTAGATCAGAACTAATGTCACCGAATGGGAAAACGGTCTTAGATTCAATGTCCCAGAAGTGCCGAAGCCAGTGCATGGACCCATGTTTCGTGCTCTCCCAGTGAACATCCAGACCCAACTCATGCGCGCGCGTAAAAATCTTGGACATCCCAACACTGAACAATTTGGCCGAGCGCTGCACGACATGGATGTGCTCCGGCCATACAGCAAGCAGTCCGTGACATGACCTGTGATACATGTCATGAAATGTCTTTGCCGAAAGTTTCCCGACCAGGACACCTGCGTGAAGCTCGGGACTTCAACGATACGGTGCAATTTGATGGAGTCAAGACAATACTGTTTCTATCATTTTGTTGATACAGCAACCAACTTCCACATGGCCATACCATATCATACACGGACCACAGGCTCCTTGATTCAGTGCTTTCAGGCCGCATGGCTGTCGTGGGCGGGACCACCCAAAAGCCTCATGGTTGATAGCGCCACGGAATCTAACAGTGAAGGGTTCTCCCAATATTTGCAAGAACTTGGAATCACAAGTTATGTCATTCCCACGGATGGTCATTGGCAATTAGGAAGAGCAGAAAGACATGGAGCTACTTTGCAACGTATGTTGGACAAAATCTATTTGGACAAGCCGTTCCAACAGAGTCTCATACAGTGTTGCAATGCAAAAAACTCGATGTCAAGGGTCCGAGGATACACACCTGAACTTTTGGTCCTAGGTAAAAGTAGACGACTGCCTGGAAGTGTGTGTGATGATTCGGAGAATAGCTCAAATATCTCTGCACTTCAGACCGAAAGCCATCGTTTTGCACAGCAACTCGCTCTTCGAGAAGCCGCAAGAACGGCTTTTGTGAAAGCTGATCACTGCAATGAGCTCCGTCGAGCACTGCACGGCCGAAGTCGACCCGACAGAAATGTGCACCAGGTTGGGGATTGGACCATGTACTGGAAGAACAACCGATGGAACGGTCCTGCCCGGGTACTCATGTTGGACGGTAACAATGTCATATGGCATATGGCTAAGCCATCTCACCAGACTCCTTCGATGTGCGCCCGAGCGTGTAAGAACTTTGTCCGATCGTGAAACAGGTTTGTTCAAGAGGGACGACCCAAGAGAGCCACCTCCGATGCCCGGAACCGGAGTCTTTCAATATCATCAATTGTCGGAGATGCCTCCAGATTTCGTAAGAGATAGGGAAATTCCACAAGCATCCCCGTCAAGACCCAGCCAACCATCCAGCATCACACCCATAACCATAAGTAACGATGAACTTCCTCCTACATCAAACCCGCCAGAGAGTGTTCGATCGGAAGCCCAGCCTGATGCAGAGCCGGACGAGCTCGAACTCACAAGCAATGAGTGTAGATGGTGCCGGAGGTTCTCACGTGACTATGGATCCGAGCTGTGTGCCTGTACCAGAGACAGACGACGACGAACTCATTGTTGATGAGGAGGAAACTCTAAAGGAAATATATGCACTCCAAACCATCCCAGAGCAAGAATGGGCACACTGTTTCGCCATGGAAATTGTTTTGAGCACCTCTGAAATCGAGCAGTGTTGTTCCAAGCAAGGCATGGAACAAGTGATCTACTTGGCATCACAAGCCAAACGCCAGAAGGTAGAGATCAAAATGCAAGATCTCAAGGGTCAAGAGTATGATGAAATGATGGCAGCAAAACATAAGGAAATTGAGTCTGGGCTAGCCACAGAAACTGTTCGTCGCATCGCACGCCACAGGATCCCAGAAGAGCAGATCTTAAGAACCAGATGGGCGTTAACATGGAAACCCCTAAATGCACGGGAACAAGCTGAATTGGGCAAGAGTCGAAAAGCGAAAGCCCGTCTAGTCATCCTTGGTTTCCAAGATCCCGATGTAGAAAAGCTAGACCGGGACGCGCCAACCTTGAGTCGAGACAGTCGAGCTCTAATACTTCAACTCCTGGCTAGTGCACGCTGGGAGGTTAACTCGTTCGATATCCGAACTGCCTTTTTACGAGGAACCCGACAAGATAGCAGAATCCTCGGCGTTGAACCCCCAGCAGAAATGCGATCTAAGCTCAAGCTACAAGATCATGAAGTGTGTGAACTTTTGAAGTCAGCATACGGTTTGGTAAATGCCCCTCTTTTATGGTATAGTGAGTTGTTTGGGATTCCGAATGTCGCCCTTTGACCCTTGTGTCTTCGTATTGCCTCGGGATGAGAAGACTCCAGCAGAAGCAACCGCGACAAACATCCATGGAATCATTGGAATCCATGTCGATGATGGCATTGGGGGCGGTGACCAAGAATTTCACAAAAAGCTCAAATGCCTTGAAGCTAAGTTTCCTTTCGGTAGTCACAGGAAACGAGACATGATCTTTACTGGCTTACACATCCACCAAACAGCAAATGGGGAAATCCAAGTTGACCAAAAGGAATACATCCAGGATATCCCACCGATTCAAATCTCGAAAGATCGGAGAACCGATCTTAAGAACCCCGTTCTACCTCCAGAACTTCAATCATTTCGGGGTCTAATAGGAAGTTTGCAATATGCCGCAACCAATACACGACCTGATATTGCTTGCCGACTTAGTTTGCTACAAGCCAAAATTCCCACTGCCACCGTAGAAGACCTCCTTGAAGGAAACAGATTGTTAATGGAAGCCAAAAAGCATAGCAATGTCAGTATCAAATACCGAACAATCCCGATCCAGAAAATCCGATTCGCAACTTTCTCAGATGCAGCATTCGCCTCAAGGGAAAAGGCTCATTCACAGAAAGGTTGCTTAGTCTTAACAACCAGTGATCAAATAGACCATGATGTTTCGGCCCCAATCAGCGCGCTTGCTTGGTACTCAAAGAAAATCAGCCGAGTCGTTGGAAGTACTTTGGCATCTGAAACGTATGCCCTGTCGGGAGCTTTGGACTTGCTCGGGTGGTTGCGCATCCACTGGGCGTGGCTGATAAGTCCCTCGTTAGAATGGCAGAAGCCTGAACAGGTATACGCGCAGATCCCGAAAGCATTCGCGATAGTTGACTGTAAATCACTGTATGATTTGTTGCAAAAGACTTCAATGCCCCAGTGCTCTGAATATCGCACCACGTTAGAGGCCCTAATCATTAAGGATCGTTTATTTGAAGGAGTCGCAGTGAAATGGGTTCACTCGGCCGCTCAAATGACGGACGCATCAACGAAACACATGGACACCACCCCATTGCGTCTACTGTTAGAACAGGGCCATTGCAGGATCCATGATATAGATGTGGTGCTTCAACAACGAGCTGACAAGAAACTTCGCCACCAATGGATTCAAGACTCTTCTCAAGCACAGTGAATCCAAAAGAAAAAAAAATAATTAGACTTTTTTAGGAGTGTGATTTGCAGAGTGTGACATGTCCCTGAAGCCTGTTCAGCACGTCGTTCGAACCGCCATCACCTTTGGCTACAAGTCAGGGGGCTTAGGTTGCGTCCGGCGGTGTATGGTTGGGCGAGGATGCCCCACTTCGATCAGGAGATCGTGCTTGGACCTGAGGCCAGGTGGAAAAGAAGCGCCAGGGCGCGTGAGAAGGCCAGTGGCTACCAGTGTGTGATTGGGAAACCCCCAATCCACACATGCTATATATATATATATATATAGTTGTACAACGTGTGGTTCCACACATTCCAAAATGACACTGTCAAATTGTCCAGCTTCATTGCTTTCCCCACCACCCGCGTGGTGTGGGTCTTGGTGCTCATGGATTGGGATGCAGGTGGGGGGCCTTTCCAAGTTGCCTATCATAACGGCGCATTCCTCCTAACTGCTTCAATGGGTTCGGTTTTCATGGTATGTGCGATATCTTCTCCACGCCCCATTCCCCCAAAACACAATAAACATATGTAGATAAATGTAATACACGTGCATGTGTGAATCCGGCCAGGTGTTCGGTGCATTAGCATGTTTTTTTGAATCTGTTGCATGCAAACTGTTTCAACGCATTCCCACCCTTTTTGGGCACGCTATCTCTGCGTGTGGTGAATCACTAGAAGCAACGAGTTTCGAAAAATTGTCTTTGGCCCCGCAGGACAAAGACATCGAGATGCGGGAGGACGAAGAAAGGCTGTGCCATGGGGCCATGAGTAACGGGGAATGCGCTCGCCACATCTCAGCTGCTTGGTGTGTGGACATGGATTTTGGGGAATCGCGCTCTTTATCTCTTTTAGCAGCTACACAGACCTACACACAAAAAAACAGAACAGTCGGTTTTGGAGGCACATGAAACCTATGAAATGGATTTGATAAGATTTGAAGATGTTTTGGTCAGGGTCGGTGGAAAAAGGAAGCAAGCTACCCAAACCCTACATAGATCTACTTGCTTTGGCACTGAGCATACTTGCCATGTGGAGTAAAACCACCTTGAGATGCCAATCCTTCTCAGCTCGCGCAGATCTGTGGGCCGGCCTCGGGCATCTGACAAGGCGGTGTATGAAAGACAGTCTGCGCAGAGCTTCCTTGAGAGTTGTTAACAAGTTAACGAGGGAAAGCAGTGGGACCATGTGACATCATGTGACCATGGCTGCAAGCTTTGCTCAGTTCTTTGTTCTGTTTCACCTTTGACATTGCGCATGCGCATGCCCCACGTTTAGCCGTGTCACCGCTATTTGTTTGATGGCCTTCCTTATTGCAGGTCAGCTGCTTCTCGGTGATGTATGTGGCATTCAGGCGCCAACGGCCTCAGGACTTGTTGCTCCAAGTGACCCGTCGCATGATTTGGACCACTAGGGAAGCCCTGGTCTCCGTTGACAAACGGATAAGTGCAGGGTCTGAAAAACTACCTAAAGATGTTTTTCACCACGTTTCACTACAAACGTCTACCTATGGATATGCTTCGATGGAAATCTCTGAAATCTCTATTTGTTGCTGTGCTTTTGTTCATCCTGGAATATCTTTGTAGGAACTTTTCACTCTACTGTAATGTAAATCCCTACTCATCGATACTTTTCTCTAGACGTCTCTAACTTTTGTTTTCGCTACGATAAACGTCTACTTGCCGACCCCTTTTGTTTGACACCCTTTGTTGAGTACATTTCTCAAAGACATCTACTTTGCAGCGCTTTGCTTGTTGGCTGCTAAATAGTAGAAGCCTCTACCTGCCATCCTTTTCTAGCTTGCGCATGCTTGCGAGCCATGAAAACGCATGAACATACGTTTGAATGTAACGTTTCTGTTGCTCGACCCTCCGCCTACCTTCCGCCATTGCCACATATAAAAAGAAGTTGTTCAGCGTGCATAGTGCATACTGCAATTAACACGCCGAAGGCGCCGGAAATCTTTGCGCACCCCACCCGGACCCATCTTGCCCTGTGTGAACCAGCGATGGCCTCCAACCTACGTACTAGCGATGGCTTCTCACCTAGTCTCTCCTATTCATTGTTCAGGCCATTTTTTCATGTAGGTTGCCGCGGGGCGTGAGCCATTCGTTTCGTCTCCCGAAGGGTGCCCTCGTTGCCTTGCTGAGCAAGGGTTTGTCTCCCGGACGAAGGAGTCTTAGCGCAAAGGTAAGTTATATAAGACCTCATGACTTGGACAGATTCTTGAGCAGGCTGAAGGCCATGAGCAGTCCGCAGCGGACCAGAGCAGCCCGCCATTTTGGCATGGCCAGAGCAGACTGCAGCGGCCGTAGGTCTCTCAAGATCCATTGCGGTCTGCCCCAGCCTTATTTCACCTCCCTCTTTCTCCTGCCTCTCCCAGGAACCCCACTATCCTCAGCGCAGCCCTGGACGCTTGTGTCGTAGCATTCGTAGCTGGGAGCACCTGGACGCCTTTGTCGTCGCTGGGAACCTGCCCCCTTTTCTTTCCCCCCTCCCCGTTTTACGCAGGCCATTTTTCACCTAGGTTGCCATGTGGCGTGAGGCATTCGTCTCGGTATGCAATATCCCGAGTGTGTGTCCGAGCACGCACGTCTCTCCGGCTCAACTTTGCGCGATGCAGAACCCTCTCATCGATGTTGGTTGTTTACTTTCAACGTCTTATTGAACTATGATGCACTGCACTTCTTACGTCCCTTGTTTTCGGATGTTTGCACTCATACGCATCGCAAGTGCCGCTCTAGACTCAAGACAAATTCAAACTAGACTGGATGTTCTTTCCAGCGAATTGAAAAAGATTGCTTTGAGAATCTTTGAGATGAATGGAGTCACATTTTTGAATCGATTCAATCACATTACTGATCTCCTTCTTTGCAGGTTTCTGTCACAGCTTTGCAGCTGGTTGGGTTCTCAGCATGTTCAAGTTTTTCAGCATGCCACAGCCCTTTTTGTTGCAAATGCAAGGTCAATGTACATCATGATCTAATTATATATTCGGTTGTTTGCAATTTGCTGCGGAGTTTGTTGTCGATGTGAATGATGAAATTAGGAAAGGGGAGGTCGGTCATGCTGGCAAGACCTTGGGTTGTCGGCCTTTGTGTGCGTGTGTATGCAATGTTGTCGTACCGGGGATGGTTGCACTTTCCTGAGATATTTTACAGCGATTGCCAAAGGTTCTTTGTGTTGATAAGAGGATGCACACAATTTCAATCAATTTCATTTTCTCCCAATTTTGGGTTGAATGGTGTTGAATATCCTTCCGTGTGTTGATTTTTATTGTGTGTGCTTTAATGTTTTAGCGCTTGCAATAAGATTCAAAACCACAGCTGTCAGGCCTGCGTTTAGGCGTGCCTGCCCACTTATGCTCAGTTTGGGCAGAGAGAGTTTTTGTTAGTCAAGTGAGGGGGATGCCCATCGCTTCTGGTTGAGCAAAGTCAACCGTGTTTTGTTCGACCCGTTGTTTCCGCTTGTAAAGTACTTTGAGAAAAGTTGCTGGAATAAGCCAAGAAAGACTCGCACGTGCACATCTTGGGTCCCAGAGAGACCGGTTGAAGCTGTTGGTTTGATGTCATACTGCCCCAAGTATAGTTTGAGTGTCCAAAGCATGAAGGCAAGAATAGTATCAAAATTTCAGGCTTTGAGACAAATCAACGTGCACTCGGCTGCCAGGAAGGCGGATGCACCAGTTCCCTGAGGGAATAGGTGACAGCATTTGCGCTGAGTGAATAGGTTGATGACCTAGCGTGGCAAGAGTTTTAAAAAATCAACCATTAAAAAACTACAATCATATGTTTGGGTCCCTTTAGAAGCCGGATCTTATTGAAGGGGCTTGGAACTTGTGCCGTTTTTTCCTTTCTTGAATTATATAGTTTATGCCAAGTTGCAGACTTGACCAAGTTTGTCAGCGCAGGTGTCGAAAGTTTGGTGCTGGAGAAAGGCACCACGACATGTGGAACAGGATGGGAAGAGGATATCATTTCTCACACCGTGCCCCAAATAGATCACTATATAAATCATACATAATCATACTACGACTAAATCCACATGCGTGTACATTTCCGTAGCTGCAGGCTTTGAAGTGGCAGGACTGCCAATGTACTGCAGTCGCCATGGATGTCGGCAGGTTTTAAGCAGCAAAAGTGTGTGGCAGCAGGGCGATATGGGCGATAAGGTATTGGTGAGAATCATCATGGATACGCTTGACAATTGAATGGACCATGCTCTCTACTTTGGAGTCCCAATCCTGTAAACATTGAAAGCCTTTCAACATTCTCCCCCAGTAATGGTGCACCTCACTACTTAGTACAGCCATGCGGCCTACTTTGCGCTTTGGCTGTAGCGTTTGAAAGGGCACCATCCAGAATTCAAGATATCCTAGCATGCATGTTTTGAGCGTGTCCAGCTCGAAGTCCAGGGGCAGCCTAGTTTGGAGAAGCAACAAGAGCTGAGGATGGAGAAACATGGAGAAACTTTGCAGCCAAGTCTATACACTGCATACAAATCCATATACGTATCCTTAGACAATCTCGTATGGTGTTGATTATTGCACCTGCATTTCTCATCTTGAGCCTTGAATTGTGTAGTCGTGGGAGCCACAGCAGCCGGATGTTTCAGGAAAAGCTGCAGTTGGCAGTCCTGAGTTGCCTATGTGTGGCCAGCGCAGACAACTGTAAAACAACATGCTTTGGTCCAAAGCATGCCCTAGAATTCAGGAAAACCCTCGAGGACTTGCGTCATCATGATTTGCTCAAAATTGTGCCTTTTGTATTTTCTACTGTGGTCTCCTTTGCTTTGAACATGCCACACCGCTTTTGGGTTGCATGTTGTTTGCATGTTGTTGCATCGATCTTAGGATATGAAAAAGAGAGTCCTCCCTTTCCAAGCTGCGGATCTGCTGTGGACGTTCAGGTCCAGTTCTTCCTGGAAAGCTTTGATTCAGTCGATGAGCAGCATGAGTCTGTATCCGTGACAGGTTACATTAGGCATTGGTGGGTGGATCAAAGACTGGCTTTTGCTCAGGATACGGATATGGGAAACATGTGTGTCAATGTGCTGATCATTCCTAGTGACATCATTTGGACTCCAAAGCTATATATCTACAACGCCATCAAGCAGATTCACCAGAACAATGATGCCATGACGTCGGTGCATGCGAATGGCACGGTGTTTCATGCCATTGCCTTTCGCGGGAGCCTCAAGTGCGCTATGCAATACCATCGAATGCCCTATGATCAGCACGGATGCTTCATGAAGATCGGGCGCTTCGATGAGACGACGGAAAGTATCCAGGTGAGGCCAAGGCATGGTTCGCAGGAATATATGAAACTGGGCACAACACGTGCGATTCGCGCTGTTTTGTGGTCTTTTATGATCTATTGAGCGTGCACACAAGTGCATTGCGGTCTCGTGTTCTTTCACCAAGGAAACAGAGTGGTGTTGGCGTTGTTGGAGACAAGATGCTCTCACCCGCATGGTGCCCGGCTCAGAGATTCAGGGCTTCCTCGCCACAAATGAACACAACACCGGCAATACCGAACCTGTGATGAAGCCGATGAACTCGACTGAGCTTTTGGATGCTTTTATAATGCCAAAGTCAAGCTTCCCCCTTCTCCTGCTGTAGTTCGATAGGCACAATGTTCGCAATTTATTCAACCCTGGTAGGGTGAAATGCACCATATTGGGGGAGGGCTCTTGGGGAGGATCAGAAACATACAAGATGCACTCAAGGACCTTTGCCTCATGAGGGGCAGCGTTGCGCCTTTGCACCTCGGTGTTGGAATAGTCTTCACACTTCAGCAAAGATGCAAAAAGGCATCAAAACGCACCACCTGGCTGCGAGCCAGAAAGACCAAAACAACAGGACAGCAAATTTAGCAAGGAGAGAACAGAAGTGATGGCAAACAAAGCAAAGAAATAAGCAAACTAGCAAGGAAGACAAGGAAACCAAGGTAAGCAGCCAAAACAAGCAAAAAGCAGTAACCAGGAAGCAGAAGGTAAACGCAAGGGGCCCCAGAAAATCAGAGAAAGAACTGCAAAGAGAAGCACAAAAATACAAGCACTGCAGAAGCCGCAACGGGCAAAACTCCTCAGCTGGGCTTACAGGCTTACGTTGCGCTGTCTCCTCTTGTCGATTCCACATTCGATCCTTCGCAACACAGGCTTCAGCAACATGTGGGTAGCTTTGGGCCGTACCCTGAAAAACTGTCGGGTCAACAGCCACCGGCATTTCGTAACAAATGCACTGTTGGGTGATGTTAGGTGCAACAAGTACTGGCTGCATGATTCCTGTAGCGCATGGCAAAGTGAGCACAACATTCCCACAAACTCCTCAAAAATTCCATTGGGGGCCCAGACCCTGTTTATTGTAAGAACCATTGCGGCCAACATCAACAGTCCCAAACACATGCAAGCCGCGGCGAGGTCCGTGAAACCTGCCAAACACCAAATCAAGGATCAACGAAGCAAATGTATAGTACAACACCATATTGCACGCTCACCCCAAGAGGGCTGCAAGTCAGGTAGAAGCAGTTTGTAGTTTCTATTTGTGTCACTAAGGTTCATCGAGAATGAACAAAATATTTCTACTCCTGGTGTGCGAACCAAAAAGTATTGGCCTGATTTGGAAGGGTCAACGGACATTGTGTTCCTTCCTTTCAAGTTTGCTCGGCGACCTGGGTATCTTGTTCGAATGGTGCTGGTACCCTCTTGGCTGTTTCTGATTGTGAGCTACACCGGCTTCTTTATTGATCCAAAATCAGCTCCTGCTCGTGCAGCGGTGGCCCTACTTCCAGTTCTCATCATGCGAACTCTGCAAGGTTTTGTGTTCTCCAAGCTCCCACAGGTCGCAACCTGCGTGTGGCTTACAGACTACTTGCTGGGCTCTATGATTATGTGTTGCTATGCGGCTGTGCACTTGGCCATCGTTCAGCTTCTCTTGGGCTCAGAAGAGAAAGCAGCGGAGAATTTGCAACGCCTAAAGAAAGTCGAGAAGACCGCTCGAAATCTGATCGAAGAGTCGCGTGAAAAGACGCATGACTTCCATTGATGTTCAAATGCCCGACATCTCCAAAAGTTCCAAACCGAGCTTCGATCATTTGCTTGCCTTTCTTGGATTGGATGATGTTTATTCCTTCTTTCACATATATAATACGAACTTGGCAATGCAAAGTTGTTCGTTTGTTTGTTTGTGTTAAGATATCACTCCACTGCGCACTCCAAGACTGCCAACTTCACTGTTGGCTCAAGTCACTGAGAAAAGATCACAGCTGCTGAGTCCACTGTGTGTAGGACTGCGGCTGTAGGTTGCACAGGTGATTGATCCTGAATATCTCATGGTAGCGGAGCTCTGGCTCCTGCTGCAACTGTACAGAATGTAGAACTGTAGAACTGAAGCAATGGCCCAACTTGAAGAATCGAATACACTGGAAGGAAGCAACAAGCTTCCACTTCTGACTCAATTCTCAGGAAAGATGGAACAATGGGAAGACTGGAGTTGGTCTGTGAACGACACCGATCACTGATGAGAGACTGGGGACTTTGGAAGCTGATAATCCTCAATTCGTTGACACTGGTTTATGTAATTCGACTTAGCCGTCAATGGCACTACTGTAACTTGCTGTCTCAGGTGACTACTAATAGTGCCAGACTGGTAGGACGTGGAAATGTTGATATGAATGGTTTTGAAACATGGCGCTTGTTGAGCATTTTGTTTTCGCTGCCACAAACTGCACTTTGAGCAAGACTACAGCGAATGGGAAACACTGAAGGCCAGATATGAACGATAATCCGGAGCACCACTGCAACAACACCTGCGACTGAATGCAAGAACGATGGACATGCACGACACTGTGAGAGAGGCTGGACAATGGAGGACCCGCGCCCATGGACGTAGGAGCAGCGGAGAAAAGGTGGAAGGGGCAAGACTGGCCCCCACTGGAAAGGCAAAAGTAAAGGAAATCTTGGCATGGAAGGCAAAGGTAGCGGCCGCCCCCTTCGGCCCACTCAAAGCAAAACACAATTGCCTGTAGGAAGGAAGCCACCTAGACTGCAGGGAAGAAAACTGGCGAGATATAACGCTGACGGAGTAACAATGTTTGTGAACTACTATGTTTGCGACGCCCCCTTTTGTCTAGTTTCCGTTGCCCGCTTGATCTTGCAAGGTTACTGGACTGTTCTTGGTAAAGGCTGCGTGAAACTATTGACACCGGATGACCAAACTTAACTGTGAGCGTCATTACACACGGCACAATGGTGTATCTCACACCAGCCACTGTGGACTGTGGACTATGATGAAACTGTCACGGGTCCATGTGAACGTGCGCTGGAAGAGTACATGACCGCACTGGATGTTGAACTGTGAACATACCACAACAGAACATGAGCGCTGACTGATCAATCCCATTCGACCAAAGCCATACTACCACACTGACTTTTCGCTGATTAGGGCTCACAAGAGACCAAGAAGAACAATGCTCACGCCTTTCAGATCAGATTGTCCTGTTCCACTGGACAGGTTCACGGGCGTGAGAATCGCCATTGACTTTGGAGAGGGAAATCTACAGACTGTTTCGGAACTTCAGGACATTGGACAAGAAATGAAATGAAGGAACACTGGAAAGGCAGAACTGTTTTTCACCTGAAGTTGGAATTGCCACTGAAGAGAGCAAGAACCAAGGCTTCACAGCGGCCCTGAATCACATGAAACAGACAGACGAACTGTCGATCGACACTGGTAGTGTATCCGATCACTCGCATGACGCACGCAATCCTATTGCCAAGCTGTTGACGTGCAAGGACTGGGACGATGAAGAGTTCAAAGCGCTCTTGTTGACGGTGTTTCAAACCAGATCCTGAAACTGGAGGAGGTCGGACATCAGACTACTGGTTACACACACCTGTAGCCTGGGCTCGTTTTCATGACGGTGCGCAACAAGACTTCTTCACTCCGGATGACGCCGGACCAGACCACTCGGAACTAGGACACTTGAGAGTGGTTGTTCTCTTCCTTACCAGGGACGACTGGAATAGAAAGATTCAAAGTCAAAGTGGTATGTGGATGACTGAGGATCAGACTGAGGCACCACTGGTGCTGCTTGTCATTCTGACTGGCTTCACTGATTTCGAAGACCCCAAAGGGAAGTCATTGCTGGACAAGAAACGCACGACGAAGCGGTGTGCACTGCTAAAGCACTGCCTAGCCCAAACGAACCAGCTGCGCAACAGCGAGCGCAACACTGCCTGACACACTTGCCATTTCGATCACGGCAATGGTGTGAACACTGTGTTCGAGCAAAAGGAAAAGAGCGACAAAGCTGACAAAACACTGATAGACAGCCTGCGATTCAAGCGGACTACTCGTTCGCTACAACTGGCACGATGTTCAACAGCGGACAAGCCTGAATGCGACTGATGTTCAGACTGGACTGTCTACTTCAGGTGTTGTTCCAAGCAAAGGGAGACACGCCGAAATTCATCTTTGGAACTGGCAGAACTTTTCGAATTCTACAGTATGACAAAGAACTTGCACTGAAAGGGTTGGTCACTGACACAGCAAAACAACTTGGAGGCATGACATGAGCGTTCGAGCGACTACTAAGGCCTGGAAGCAAGCACATGGTTCGATTGGAAGGAGAGACATTGCATTTTTCCGTGGCTCAGTTCCATCGCTACGTGACACACGAAGACGGACAAACCTCCTACGGCCGTAGATGGAATGGAACAATATCCAAACTGGATTCTGTGAATTCGGGGAAATTGCGCTGTTTAGACAGCCTGGACAACTACACGACAAAGCTGACGCTGCGTGGCTGGAAGGCATTTGGCTAGGACCGCTATAGGAAAGGACACTGAAGCTGAAGCAGATGGGCCGCTAGTGTTTGGAAACGGTTCCATGCACAAAGTGTGAACTGGGCGTTGAGTCAAGCACTCAAGCACTGCGCAAAGCACTGAATGTGCCTCCTTAGAACCCAAACGAGGACACTACTGACACCTCTTTTGCCCTCCGCCATCACTGAGCACCACTGGACGTATCCGCGAACCACCCGGGCTTGAAAACGTGAGATGAGATGATGACAACTTGTTCCTGAACGCGTTAGAAGTCCAAAACGCAATCTGAAGAGGAACTGCCAGACGAAGAAACACAGGAAACGAAACACAAACGATTCGAGCGCTTGTTATTACTATTACTCTTGCTATTTTTACTATTTTTGTTATTATTGTTATTATAAATGTACATATATATATATGTGTGCGTCCTCATACGTATTCACAAGCTCGATTTATGAAAAAAAATCTTTATATATATATATGTATATGTCTTGACCTTGAATGTCCTCAACTAACCGTGACATCGAATGAGAAACATCATCTGTCATCTGTATGGCCAAGCGGTCACGTCACAGTGAGGCTGTCTAAGGATAAGTTTTGTCTTGCTATTGACAACTATTGACACGAAGATCGACTGTCGACATGAAAAGAAGTCATGCGCACATCGTTGCTTCAGAGCCAGAGCCCTTGCTGGTGATTCAGGGAACGCACGGCGTGAAAGAGTGTTAACCCGTTTCATGGAGGTGACAGGTCGCAGACCCTCTGATCACAAAGCAATTGTTCCCTCTATTGAGCAGGCATCTAAGTAATTCTTGTTCTGGAACTCCCCTGACGGGACCGACGGGCTTGACGAGCCCGACGGGAAGACACACCCAGAGGACCATGGCCACAGCCACAGCACTGTGACTGCCAACTTGGTCACTATGGGCGCTGTACGACGCGATCTTCACTGCACCACTGCGCATCGCCGCTGAAATCCTGAAGACTGGAATCGCGCCTATCAGCCTATCACTTTGCTTGGAAATGGTCAACTGACAGCACTGCTGCAGACGCTGCAGATGTACTGGACGAAGGCCATCACACTGAGCGACGCACAAATGAATGACAAAGGAAAGAGCCCCTGGTCGTTGTGGCATTCGACCCTTCAGGCGAGAATCGTTGGACATATTGTCCAAGGGGACTACTGCCGCTGCGAGGACACTGATTCACTGCAAGAGAACTTCGTTCTCAACGAGGTTGAACTGGCAGCGGGACTTGCGGTTCAACTGATTCGCCATGAGCTGAAGGGCACTCCGCCTTTCGGACTGCACTGGCCAAGGACTCTATGGCACTGATGAAGAGGGCACTGAGCGCACTGCCCAAGAGCATTCCACGGTGAACTCCGAAAAGTACAAGATCACTGTGTGGAGTCACAAACGGCATCATTGCGAAGATGGAACTGTCAAAAGACTGAACTGTGCAGTCACAAACTTTGTTGAGTAGGCACTGACGAAATTCTCATGCAAAGTCGCTGATCACAGTTCAAGGGGGAGTCTTACGATATCCTGTTGTGTAGGACTGACAACTGTAGGTTGCACAGGTGATTTATCCTTGAATTTCGCTGCTTGTTTGTGCGTTTGCGTGTTTGCCAGCCTGCCTGCCTGCCTGCCTCTCTCTTTGTTTGTTCTACGGCGTTCTGTCATTCCAGGAAAACTTTTGTGGCCACTTTGCTCAACGACTACGCGCCAGAGGTGAAGAACACTGATGGGCAGACAACGCTAGTTTCATATTTGGCCAAGAAGCATGGTGAGACAGCGACAAAGTCAGAACGCTTGGGCCAGAGGACATACCGTTCTTACAGTGAGTTGATGATGTCCACTCCGAACACGAAAGAGGCGGGCTCTGATCCAAAGGATGACGATGCCCTTCCATTGCTTGAGATATCTTCTGACGCATCAAGCCCACGGGGCAAAATACGAACGACGTCTGTAGAACATTTTGATGCACACTTCGCCCTCAACGTGCGGCGTAATGCTTTGCATTCACCTATTGAGCAAAGGCAGACGACGGAAGGTGATTTGGCCGTCATCCGCTACTTGCTAAGCCTTTGGCAGCGTGAAGTCCCACAAAGCGACCCAACAGCCACACCAGAGATGCTTCGAAGGGTCATGACCAGCTTCAACATCTATATGACAACATCAGAAACTGCGAACATCATGTGCACATTCCTTCGGGATAAAGGATTTGACACTTTGGAAGATGTCGGCCAGGTGCGGATGATATTTTCGCTATTTATGGAGCTCCTTTTAGATATCGAGAAGTACGAGATTGCAGCGAAACCGGAGTGGTATAGGGTGCCACTTTCCAAGGCAATTCCTGGGTCGCGGAGGCTGGATGTGACAATGCAGATCCTTTACCCTGTTTTGGTTGTCCTACATGCTGTGATCTCATTTGCCCTCATTTGTGTCTACCCTGAGAATCCTGACATGGGATTGGTGGCCGATATGAATAGCGTCATGCGCTGGCAATAACATGCAATAGCCATTTGAAGCTATCTAAAGCTCAAAACCAGCTAAATCCACTTCATTTGATCAGTGGTGTCCATCGCTGGATTTGGAGAGCTCCAACGCAAACACAAAAGGAAAATTGCCACTGCTTTGATGTTGATTGGTTTCACAAGGTCAGTTTTCACGAACCTTGGAATCTCCATGGTTTCATTTGTGCGATTTGTAGCAGCAGGAAATAGGCCACCAAGCTTCAAAGCCAGGTTTGGAAGTAGCTTCGAAAGTTCCAATGGAAAAGGCTGTCAGTGCTCAAGCTGAGATTCGTGCGAATGTTTGAAAAGCATTGAGTTGGCACTAGCCTGGTGTTGCAAGAAGCCTTTCACGTGAAGTGAGTTTCAATCAACCACAGGGGGGTTCGCTCGCTGCCACAGCTTTTACCCTGCCAGTGAAGCTGCCACCACAACGAACATTGCTGGAACAGACGCTTTACCCTCAGCCGTCAACTAGTTCCATACACGGGCGTCAGTTTCAGGCCTTTTTTCATAGATGTCCATAGTAAAAGTGTTCACATCATAGGTCCTACACAAAAAAACAAACAGTGGGAAACACAGTTTTGCGTTCGGTTTGTTGTGCCAAAAGTGGTTGGCCTTTGACTTTAAAGACTTTAAAGGCTCGAGTCTCGAGTTATTATTTGTGGACACAGACTATTCCAGCAAAGGAACTTGAAACTTCTTGCAAACCTGTGCGTGAGCTAGTGGTTTGTCGTATCGTAGAGACGTCAATACCAGTTGGAGCAATGAAGCTTTTCGAGTGAAAATGTATCATCACACCCGTGTTTGGATCGTAGTTTAGGTGCATCAGTCGATGGCGATCCACTGCGAGACGCCACTCGACCAAGTTCCCTTTCCCTGCCTGCTGTAGTATCTCTACTTGAGTACAGATCGTCATGATGTGCGTCAGGATGCGTCGCCGCAATGATATATTTCATATGTTCCAGATGAGGTTGCCTACAATGTAGGCAAACCGATTTGCTCGAGCAAATGAAATGACCAGTCCATCCCATTGCAAGCGCGGGGTGCACGCAACTGTCACCAGCGATCTGCACGGATCCGGCGACCACTATGGGTTCAACCTCCTATTCTGCTTTCCCGGAACAAGTTCTGAACCTCGATCATTCTGTTTATCATTTGTTTATCCATGTCTATCATCATAACCAGATTGTTGTTTCCTTTTAATATTGCTTTGAGATTATATTTTGGAAATCATGGAGAGGTCACTTTCCAACAATGTCAAAGTTCGCCGGCCCTAGAGGTCCGCACAGTGAACATTTGGTGTTGGTGGATATTGGAGTTTGGCAATCCTTCGCGGAAGAGCAAATCGCGTTTATGGGGTTTGGATTTGTAACTTGCTCATGCATGACTAGCTCTCACAGTGAGACAGACCAACAGAGCGTGAGATTCCTGGTGCAAACGGCAGGGATAATATCTCAATGGTGGGGTCTTTGTGGTTTTGACGTTGACAGGTGGACAGGACAGGCACTGGATGGATCTTTTCTGGGGACCACGATCTGGTGGGTCGGAAAAGCACATGAGCGCTTCTGCGAGGAGTTGGTTGGAGAGGATTTGAGGATTCACACTTGCTGCAGGGTGACCCCCGGTCAAAAATGACGATCTACTGTAATGTCTTTAACAACGAATAACTATATAATTGGACAACTTTTACCTAAAGAATGAGGACAAAGAGCTTTGAATTGGAGAAAGAAGGCTTGATAAGATCTTGTTTCTTTTGTAGGGCCTGAGGTGGAACAGAGGATTCATGCAGATAAGCCTCTGCACAAGGGGAGAGTAGAGAAGCGGAATTTGAAAATGTACAATTGCCAACTTCAGAAGAAAGATTTGATTGGGGGGGAGTGGTATGGAGACAGCGGTAGTTCTGAATGGAAGCTGTGGCAAGGCTCGAAACGGGTTGCCAGAAGAAACCATGTATGTATATATATATATATATGTATATATATATATATTTTGTATGTGTTCGCGCGTGTGCGATTCAAAACGGGGGAAGTAGCGAAGCACGTGTTCCGCGGTTATTTTTCATCGACCCTCTGATGCTACTTCCCATGTTCAACCAGTCTTTCCCCGCTTCGCCATCCACCCTTTAAAATCGCTTTGCAGGCTCTGCTTGCTATGTTTACAATCGATTTCGCCTCAAGTCCGTTCCCCATTTCCTCCTCGAATGTTCGATAGAACCATATGTTTCCACAAGAAAGAATTACCCCTACTAGGAAATCAGTTGTACATATGTTGTACGAAAATCAATAAGAGCGTTGAGCTTAAGAAATTGGAAAAAGCGCTCTAAGGTCCAGAGAGTCAAGAACTAGTGATGTGGAAGGGGTCCTTTAATCCGCCCTCTCCATCTCCAAAATTTGATGTTGATATTGTTTGTGCGGTGGAATGACGAATGCAAAATTGCCATGGTCGTTGGTTTTACATGAACGGATGTCACTGAAGGTTTACTATTTGGGGACGTTCAGTGGAGAGAGTTCCAAATAGAAACAAGTGGGCACGCCCACGCAGTTGAGCAGGGTCTTTTAAATGAGGCAAGTAGCGCAACTTGTCCAGTATATATAATATATATATATAATGGAGGAGTGTTTTAGAGAATATGTATAAAGGATGCTTGAGAATGCCGACAACAAAACATGAGCAAGGACGAAATGGGACAAGATTCGCGAAAATTAACGAAGACAGGCCAATGAAAAGAAGATGTGGGAAGACAAAGTTTGCAAAGCGAGCTTTGGTGCGAACGGTTGGATAAATTTGATTAAAAACAAAGGTTTAGGCTTGCGAGGAGACGTCATAAAAGTAGTATATCCATGTTTTATTGGTTGTTTTGGTTTGTTGTTTTGTTGCTGGTTGTTATGGGGATATGTT